CAACCGACTGGCTGGTAGCTGACTTCAAAGGCAGAATCTCCACAAACTTTGAGAAATGGTCGACAGCCACCAGAATATACTCATGCCCAGCATACGACTTTGGCAAAGGCCCCATGAGATCTACACCAACCTTTTCCCAAGGCCTCGTAGAGGTACTAGACAACATCTTCCCTTGACGTCTCTGGTAAGAAGGTTTTGTTTGAAGACAAACATTACAACTGCGAATAAAGCTTCTTACAGACCGCGACATACCACTCCACCAGAGACCCATCGACTTCAACCTTTGAAGTGTCTTCTTTCTCCCAAGATGCCCAGCTATTGGCTTGCAATGACACTCAACTAACACTGCATTCTGAAGTGCCTTGGGGATAACTACACATTCATTCTTATACAACACCATTCCCTTCAAACTGAAATCTGAAAACCTCTGAACAGGACCTTGATCCTCCCCACCACCATTCTTTTGCTTTTCAAGGATCTGAATGATTGGCAAAAGATCTGGGTCACTCTGTTGTGCCCTCAGGACAGAATCCTTTGTCAAATCCAAAGGAAGAACGACTTCATCCGTGGCCTCTGACTTGCCAACACAAGATGGGCAAGAGTATTTGTCCACCTCCTCCGCCTCTTGAGAACCAATATGGACACAAACCTGGTGATACCACTTATCACAATCATCACATTGTACCCAACTAACCGACTCATCATCCGGGGAAATGCAATCACTGGCTGCACATAAGTCCTTTTCATGTCCGTCACAGACTCGATCCGACAAAACCCTGTTTACAACTCCCACCAAAGGGGCAACACCTTTCTCAGGAATCCTAGATAGTGCGTCCGGGACATGATGTTGCTTTCCAGGCCTGTATATCACCTGAAACCGAAAATCCTGAAGCCTCAGAATCCAACGAGCAAGTCGCCCATTTTGCTTCTTCTTCCGAAATAACCAGCAAAGTGCCTGGTGGTCCGTTATTACACGACACTCTCTACCTTCCAGATATGGCCGCCATTTCTCTAGGGCCCATACTACAGCCAAACACTCCTTCTCAGTAGTACTATAATTCCTTTCTGCAGCAGACAAAGACCGACTCGCATAGGCGATAGTTCTCGTCCCAGACGGTTGCTGCTGGATCAGGACTGCACCGACCCCAACATTGCTGGCATCTGTGTGTACAGCAAACCTGGATTCTTCATCAGGGTAGCCTAGTATTGGCTCAGTGAGGAGGCTCTCCTTCAAGGCCTGAAAAGCACGAGTGCAGTCAGCAGTCCAATTCCAGGGAACACCTTTCTTCTTCAATCCATGAAGAGGTGCAGCAACCTCTGAGAAGCTAGGAATGAATTTCTGATACCATCCGGCCATCCCAAGGAACCTCTCTAATTCCTTGATCGACCTAGGTTGGGGATAGTTAACAATGGTAGACACCTTCTCGGGGTCCATCTTGAGTCCATTTGAGCTGACAACATGGCCAAGATATTTCATTTCTTGGCAGGCAAACTGACATTTCTCAGTATTTACGGTCAGACCCGCTTGTCGTAAGCAACAAAAGATCTCCTGGAGATCAGAGATGTGCTGCTCAATATCCGGAGAGAAACACACAATGTCGTCCAAGTAGACATAGCAATTTCGCCCTATCAGGCCATCAAGCACCTTGGACATCAACCGTTGGAAACTGGCAGGACCATTTACCACACTAAAAGGAAGGACCTTGAAGTGGAATAGACCCCTATGACAAACAAAAGCAGTCTTCTCCTCATCCTCATCTGCAACACCCATCTGCCAGTATCCACTGCGCAGATCTAATGACGAGAAAACCGAGGCACCATGCAGAGAGCTCAAAATGTCATCCACTGTAGGCATGGGGAAGGCATCAATCTTTGTAATTGTATTCAATTTTCGGTAATCGACACACATCCTGTACTTCCCGTTCTTCTTAGGGACCATCACTACAGGAGCGGCCCAAGGTGAATCTGAAGGCTCAATCTTCCCCATGTCCAGAAGCTTATCCAACTCTTCATCAAGAGCTTGTCTTTTCTCAGGACTCACCTTGTACGGGTGAGAGCGGATGGGAGAAGCCCCTCCTACATCAATTCTATGAATAGCCATGTTCGTATGACCAGGTACCTCACTAAACACATCTGGGAAGTCTTGAAAAACCTGATCTAATTTCTGTCTATCTGCTTCAGTTAGATCAAGTTTCTTCATCTCATCCTCAGCTTGGAGATGAACATCGACTTCTTCTTCAACATGTGACATCTCCTGCCCTCCATTCAACGAGAACTTAACTGGCCGCTCATTGGCCCCATTGCTACTTGTGCTATAACTACGACTGCCAAAATCTATGATAAGTTTCACCTTTTCAGCAAAGTCAGCACCAAGGAGGACAGGTACTGGGAGCCTACCAACCACATGAAAGACCTCAGTCGCAGTGCTGCCTCCTAGACCCACTTGCAGGGATGCTAAACCATCAGGCACTAAGGCGGTTTCATTGATCATGCCTAACACCCCTTCAGTTTCACGAGTAACCTCTACCCCTAACTCCTTACACAATTCAAAAGTGACCAGGGAAACCTCTGACCCCGAGTCCAGCAGGGCTTGGGTCTTCACCACTCTGTCATCTATACCCTGAACAACAACATCTGCAATTGTAGCATCACCCCTATCCTTTGCAATGAAATTGCACCTTGGTGACGGTTCTCGAGTAAAGCCCTGTGGAGGTCCTCCCTGGAAACCCGACCCTGTGGCCCCCGGAGGTACCGGACAGTTGGCAATTCTGTGCCCGAGCTGGCCACACCGGTAGCAGGCAGCATTAAAGGATCTACGTCCCGTGGGGTTACTGCCTGCACCTGTCCGTCGTGGAGTGGAGGGATCACTCCCTGGGGTTGTGTTACCCGCATTCGCCCCCCTCTGGATTACTAATTCGTCCGCCTTGCGCGCAACTACCATGAGAGATGTGGCTTGTAGCTCCCTTAGCTTTAACCTCAATACTTCATCGGGTACTCTCTCTAAGAATTGGTCAATCATGACCAGATTGAGCCCTTTAGAGACTTCAGGCATCTCTACTGCCTCCTGGGGTATCTCAACCCACTTAAAAAAATAACCTTGTAAATGACTAGCGAATTCTTCATAACTTTCATTGGTCTTCTTATGTTCTTTTTTGAACTTTATTCTGTATGCCTCCGGAGTGAGGTGGTACCTTCTCTTTATGGCCAGGACAACATCATCATAGTTGTTTTGTTCTCTAGTACTCAGGGCGTGGAATGCCTGCTGAGCTCTTCCAGTAAGATATGGTTCTAACAGCCGAGGCCATTCACTCTTTGGCTTGTTTGCTGCCAGGGCTAGTCGCTCAAAAGTGCTAAGGTAGCACACCATATCATCATCGTTACTTAGCTGATGTAATCCCTTTAACGGAGGACCAGTTTGTGCAGAGCTACCGATTGCAGCAGACAGTAAGGATTTGCATAGTTTCTCAGTCTCATGATGATGAGAATCTTCAAGGTGCTTCATGACCCGCAAAAGGTCATCCACACCCACACCTGTATTTTTTGGTTCATCCTCTACCAGCTTAGGCAAATCACATAAACATGAGATCCGCTCTTGCTTGGTCTTTACAGCATTGGTATCAATATGATTCAATTCACACAAGTGTGCTATGTGCTCAGCTGTAAATCTGCCGAGATATGCTGATCGGTCTGTCATGGTTAATTTTATCTTTTATTGAGCACTGAATATTATACTAGACTAGTCTAGATCTAGTTTAAATTTAATTTAGTGACCTATTGAACGTGTGTGTTTTAGTGTATGGTGTATGGTTAGTGAGAGTGGTCTAGACTTCTAAATCTACTATTTTAATCAAACTTTTATTTATTTAATTTTAGTCTAGTCTAGCCTAGACCCTATGTATTTATTTATTTTTTCTATTTCATTTTTAATGTTACTTCAATACTAGACTACTTGTTTAATAGCTACCTTAACTTTGATTAGTCTATCTGTAGAGTCTAGACCTAGATCTAGACCCTAGATCTACTGCTAAATCAACAAGCACTAGTAGGCCTATAGGCCTGCACAATAAGTGGGGCAACAGTCACACACTGCATGAAACAACCGTGTCAATTAATTTCTCACCCAATCCTTAGATTTCCAAAAAAGCCATAGCACAAAGAATCCCTGCCGATTACGCCAGTATAAGGGGGTTCACTATGTACAGACAGGAAGGATTAGATCTCAGACAGGAATTGGGTTAAAACACCTTTAAATAGGCGACAACGGCCTTAGAAACAACAATCGGAATCTTACAGACAATCGTCCATTTTCTTCTCTCTCGATCCCTCCCCCGATCATATCGGTATCGGTATCGGTTATCACGATATCAATCCCTATAATATTGTGATAGGCCTAGACCCTATCTGATATTATTGAATCTATGCTTTGCTGGAGTAGAAAAGTCTAATAGGCTAGGCCTAGAACTTGTACTACTAGTAGACTCTACTACTTACTATAGGCCTAGAAAATTCTACTAGGGTCTAGTAAATCATGCATCCCAGCCAGATCCCACTCCAGCAAAGCATAGATAGAGAGTCAATGGCAATGGCATGCTAATCATCCCGGCCCAGCTACCAAGGATTCATATTTATCTTGTTCAAATTTCAATCAAACAGTTAACTCACTTGAAAGGTTTGTTCTTGAACGTGTCATGAAGAAACAAAATGACGTTGAAATACTTATATTTCGCACGATTAGAAACAGGGGGGTTGTTGTATCCAGGCCATGTCCATGTTAAATGGCGAATCCGATCCGGTATTGTATTAATGGCAAGGTGTGGGTCCCGTATTATAAAGCAGTTACCGTAGCGGTAAGTGCTCATTTGAGCGGTAAGTCTCAAAAGCAGCGGTAACTTTAAGATAAACGGTAAATATCCGTTGCATAAAAACTTACCGCTGGACTTGAGCGGTAAGTCTATAAAGATCAGCGGTAAGTCTATAAAAATCAGCGGTAACATTACCGCTACCCTCTGAGCTTGCGGTAACACTACCGTAACTATGGCTGCCATACTGGCTGTGTTCCGACGACGTGAATTCGAAAGAGCGAGGAGGAGGGAGCGAATCTTCAGAGATCGCAGCCAGCCGTTGGAGTTGGGGGATGGTGACATTTTCCGGAAGTACCGGTTTACTAGGGATGGTTGTATGCATGTTATCAATTTGATTCGGCCCCTGTTGCAGCACGACACCCAACGGAATCAGGCACTTCCCCCAGAGCTGCAAGTTTTCATAGCTTTGAATTTTTATGCAACGGGGGCAGTGCTTGATTCCACGGCCACGATTCATGGCATCACCCGCTCAACAGCATCCAGGGTAATTCACCGTGTGTCAGTGACCCTCGGCACACTGAAACATGAGGTAAGTCAATACATTTTTCTTTAATAAAGCAAAGAGAAGACAAAAATACAGTCTGTCTAAAATTTGTATTTTGAATTTTCAATCAGCAAATTAATAAGACTAAGAGGATGAAAAATAACTCTATTTTTGTCATGCATGACATGCATATACTAAAAATACTATGCATTTTATAATGAACACATGGAAGACCTATTTCAGATAAATTTATATGTTTAATTAATCTTAGACGACCAAGCAATGACATGACATAGGTCTATGCAGCGGTCTGACAATTTAGTGGTTGCCATGGGACAGAGCCCGCGACTGTGGCGGCCGGGCGGGAGGCTGGGGCAGCGCTGGCGCGGTCGGTTAGTTGGCCGAGCCTCGCTGCCTGTCTACTACTGTCACTGCAGTCTCTGTGTAGTAGTCTGTAGACCTATAGTATAGTATCATTTTATTAGTGGTCATATAATCAAACAATAGCTACGTCTAATAAAGAATTCATAATAATAAAGACATCTTTATCCAAACTTCCTTCCCCAAGTTAGCGAGAGTGCAAGTGCTAGATGCTAGCGCTAGCGCTAGTATAATTACTATTTTGCACGTAGTCCTAGGTATATTGATTTGTGTAGAGTCGCCCATAAATTGGCGTGATATGATGCGAGCTTGATTGTATGAATCGTGTACCTATGACCCTTCATATAGGTATATATGTCAAAACAAATTTCTTACTGAATGATGATTGCATGATGAATGACTGTCATGACGAAAACAGCACCCTTTCTAATGCACAAAACGAGGAGTCTCTCATCACATTCACATGACCAGAGGCAGAGGCAAATGTTGCATGCACACATAATACGTACTCTAAATTGAAACAGCTGAGCCCAGAGTATGGAAAGCTATATGCCAATCGATAGATATTTTAACGTCTTCAATTTCCAATTTCATCATTTCCTCTTTTTGCACAGATATCAAATAGACTTAATGATAAATTTATATGCGCATACACAGCAGTAAAAAATACAACATAATTAAACTACCGTCACAAAAAAAAAACTCACAACAAAATGGTTTTAAAAAAATATAGTAAAACAATACTGCTATATATAATAAAGAAAATGATAATAATAATGATTGATGAAAAGACCAAAAAAAAACAAAAACACAACTGTCATGATTATATTAAGAGGAAGAACGTAGATTCAAACAAGATTCTCCCCGTAGAAGCATAAACTAATAAGTAAATAATAAATAACAGGAGAAAAGAGAGAGAGAGAGAGAGAGAGCTATATAGAGGCCCGGGAAGAGAGAGACGAGGGGTATAGAAAGAAAAGAGATCAGTTTTTAAGAATAGATAGTTATAGGAATAGTTAGTTGCATCACCATTAATAGCATAACTATGAATATGTTCATGAATTCGAGTACAGCCAAAGAAAACTTGCACTCTCTCTCATAATTTTTTTTTTAATCACTTCACAAACTTCTTCAGATATTTCACATACTTTTCTCAACACTTGATTGAAAGAAAGAAAGTTCATGTCCAATTCTCTGAATATTAAATGTATTCGTAGGAGATAAATATTTATTCATATAATTTACAATGTGATAAAGATTACATTTCTTGATATAACATCGTTTCTGTCTATAATAATAAATACTGGTGAATTTCAGCATAGCTGTATAAATATAATGACGATGAATAAAATATACGTCAAATTACATTTCAAAAGTTTGCACATGAATTAGACTTGTATTGTATACATAACATATGAAGATCTGCAACATGGAATTATTGATTTTTGTTTTCTTTCTGCATCTCCAATTCACACTTCAGATAATCAAGTTTCCAACGACAATGGAAGAAGTCAACAGAGCCCAAGTGGATTTCTTCAACATATCAGGCTTTCCCCAGGTCATAGGAGTGGTCGACGGAACACACATTAGACTAAATGGAGCTCCCTTGGGCCCTGGTGAGCACGTCTATATGAACAGAAAAGGATATTACTCCATCAACACCCAAATAATTTGTGATACCAATTACAAGATCATAAACATTTTGGCACGCTGGCCAGGCAGCACTCACGACAGCAGGATATTTCAGGTAAATCCATAATATTTTGATTCTAAAATTTCCAATGTAACCCACTTTTGTTTTTAATGCCTCCATGAAAACATATATTGACATACATGTAAATCATTGAAATTGATGTCAAATGTTTGTTACAAATGCTACAAAATAATTGTGAAGCTAAGATCTTACAATTTTTAATAATTTTTCAAAATGTGTATATGCAAGAGAATGCAATAAATATCAAAGGTCAAGGGGCACCTATTCTACCATATTATGTTCATTCTTATAATGATTCTTCCTTTATACAGAACAGCAGAGTTGGACAGACTTTTGAAGATCTACAACAGCATGGTCTACTTCTTGGAGATTCGGGTTACGCTTTAAGACCATACCTGATGACACCAGTGCTAAATACAAGGACTCCTGCAGAACAGGCTTACAATAGGTATGTACTACAAGAAACATTTCAATGCATATTTGTATCTACAATTAAAAAAGAAAGTGAATGAATGTATGCCATTTTAGACATCAAAGCAATACCATGATGTCAATTTGCCAATCACATCTCTTAATTAGCAGGATGAGTGTTCATGAATACCATTTGGCCCAGAAGAGCTACAGGTAAAAAAGAAAATTACTCATATATGTGACTTACTTCCTTTTGACAATGTATAGGTTAGATGTATAGCACTGTAGTTAGATGTACATGTATTTTCATAGTCTAATAGACTTCCCAATAATTCATTGTTTTTAATTTGTTATACTTCAATTCCTTTACTCTGCAGAGCACATGCTACCACGAGAGTGAGAATCGAACAAGTCAACGGCCAACTAAAGCACAAATTCAGGTGCTTACTGAATGGTATGCAAATGGCACCCAGAAGAGCGTGCAAGATCATCACTGCATGCGCCGTATTGCACAATGTGGCTAAAGATTTGAAGCAGCCTGATGAAGTAGACTTTGGTATTGAACAACATGAACACGAACCAGACAGGGACGACCACATTGTAGACAACGGCTTAGCCATCAGAAACACTATTATTGCCAATTATTTCCACTAGATTTTTATGATGAAGACTTCTATATACTGTAACCAAGAATCTTTTTCAACATTCACTGTCACTGACCTTATTGTTTATCTATATTTTATATCATTCAAACATACTTATTTTTAGGGTGGACTTCCCCTGCTTTAAAACACCATTTTGGGTCATCTATAAGTTGACACATTAATTCTTTTTATTACTGCACTATTTAGTTGTGACAATATTGTTGAAGTATACTTGTACTATATAACTCAAGTGGTAGTAATCTTCTGTTTGCATTGAGAATCTTAATCAATTCAGTACTGCATTCAACCGGGGGGGGGGGGGGGGGATTAATTGCTAAGGTAGCACCAAGCCAAAATTCAAATTTCACGGAATCGCCGGGCTAGGGCATGTTCTGCTGACCTGCCAATAGTCATATTGTTTTATAAATTTGTATATGAATGTGACATCATATTCAAGGCCCTCTTTCAATGAAGTGTGTAAGATATCCTTAAGATTGGCCTCATAACATTGTTATCTTTAGATGCAGTTAATTTACAGTATAATATATGGGAAGAGTTTATCTCCTGAATTTGTTATTTGTTCTATTCAGAAGCAGGCCACATATTTAATCCAAACCTGACTGGGGGGGGGGGGGGGGGGGAGTCCCGTGGAACGCTCATGCATAGTCAATTCATTTTTAATAACGACATATTCATATTAGATTTCTGGGAAACCTAATTTCCTTAGTTCCAAAATGCACAATGATATAATCTTTTTGAATACTGAAAGGTAAAGTTATCATGAATAAGAACAAAATTAACATGGAATTTGCAAAACAAACAAAGTAACAATTTTAAACCTCTTTTTGATTAAAGACAAATAATTCAAAAACGTGAAGCGCACGCTTCATGACTAATAACTTTTCCTCCTCTATCTCCAAAAGTCTCTCTTCATAACAGCTGATTGGCTTTTTGGTGTCTTTGGCCGTGCTATCCCCTACTAGAACAGGCTGGTCTATTGGTGGTCCGGCACTGCTGGCTGCACTAGTACTGGTCTGTGGGTCCCGGGCCGGCACAGATATGCCACCCACCATGGTGTTAACCATCATGGCCACAGCCATGGCATTTTCTGCTGTCTGTATGCATATAACAATAAAGATTGCCTTGATTGAGTTTTAAAGAACTATAGAACCATACTGTCTAAATGTTGTTATTATTATTTTATTTATTAAAATTCTGTGATAAAGAGAGAACAATGTCAGTAAGGGTTTTATCTAATCATCAATATGTTTGAAAAAAAGGTTTAAAACACCCCCGGCCCCCCCACTCAGGTTTCAAAATGACCGCATGCGTGTTGCCAAAATGTCCTTTTCGTAACAAAAGAAAAAGGTCGAGCCGTATTGACTTTACACACCGGACTTTTGCTGAAAAGGGGGGGTGCGGAAAAAGGCTCGTATACAAAAGAAAAAGGTCGAGCCGTATTGACTTTGCACACCGGACTTTTGCTGAAAAGGGGGGGTCGGTTGGAACACGCATATGCGTACCCTAAATAACACTGAGTGGGGGGCCGGGAAAACACCCCCCTAAAAAAAATATTTAAAAAATGTAAGAAAAAAAAATTGTTGTACCGTACACCTTCAGTGAGGATTTTGTTTTTGTTAAACAAAAAAATTACCATATACCCGTATTGAAAATGCCTCACATAAAAATACATGCCACATTTGAATCTCATGTTCAATGGGATAAATTTTTCAAATAGAGTTAGGGGGGTAGGGTGGTCAACATAACATTGACACTTTGAAGGTCGTCAACTAAATTAAGTAATATAGTGGTAAGCATTTCAATACCATCTACAATTCAAGATAAACCCTGATTAGGCCTGGGTATTTTTGAAGTTCTCAGAGTTAGGGAAAGGGCTCCCCCGCCCCCTTCCCTGAGATTTCGGCCAGCGATGCAGACATATCGTGCAAAGTGTTGAGGAGGGGGGTGGGGGTACTTGTTTCCCCCCCCCCCCCCTTGGCTCAGTTAGGGTTAAACCAAAGATGTACATATTCACAAGTCATGTATATTTTTATGTTTGTTTGTACTCTCATACCCAGAGAGGGGGTCAATCAAATTCTACAAATTTTACCTGTGACATTTGGCTCGAAGGGAGAGCTAGGTATCCAGCCTCCTCTTCTGGCCCCAGAATGCCCTCCACACTCTCCTCCACCATTGCCTCCAGTACTGCCTCGTGCTTCTCATTATATTCCACTGGTGGTCCACCTCCTAATGATCCAAAGTCAAAGAAATAAATGTTAACTTCTTACCATAAATTTTACGAAATGTTAAAATCGATCGTACAGTTAAAGAGAGATCTTGGATTAGGTCGTGATGGTTAATAATCTACACCAAATAAGTGTAAGTTGTGATTTGCGGTTTAGTGGTGGTTATTTTACCCGACTGCTAAAAAAGCACAAGTGCTTATTAGTAACCGACGACTTTAGGTCCTATCTAAGGGACCTTGGTAATGAGGAATAATGCCTTAATACCAAAGGACACGAGTGCATCGACGACATGGTTTCGAACCTAGGTCGTCGGATTATGAGACCACCAATCTACCAACCAAGTCTCCTGATAATAATAAACCCCTTTACTAATTCAATACTCTTCTTGACATGCTACTCTAGAGTATGCAAAACATGCTATCTTTTTAAAGAGAAATAAAAATAAAAAAAGCCTAGCATTCAAACACTAGGCTGTTGTCCTAAGTCATGAATGTTGATATGATATATTAAAGATAATTTTTTAATGCATGTACAATTTATGATGACCTATGGTGGTACAGTAGATACTAATAGCAGATGGAATCCCACCATTTTAAAAACTTGTTTTTTTATTGCACAAATGCTTTCTTACTTTTTAACTTTTCCAAAGCACAGGTAACTATTGGTGATAAATTACATGTGGTAGGAGTATACAAGAAAGGTACCTTTTACAGTTTTATCCGTTACACAATAAAGACAGCTTAATTTACCTGTCTTGTTCTTTGCGTCCCGGTACTTTCGGGCCTTTGCCGCCATTTCGTTCCAGGTAAGACGCAAGTCCTTTACTGTTCTACCTGGTTGGAGTCCCTGGGCCTCTAGGGATACGAGCCCTAGGGCCCATGCATCCTCTTTTCGTTTTTTGATCTACAAAAATTCAAGAACAAAAAGTACAATGTAAATTGGAACCTACTCAAGTTCTCTTTAATTATATGCAATAGATGATTAACATATTAATTCATCCTTACTTATTTTGAAAGAATACTCTCATATGGTAGCATCCAACTGTCTCCAAAGACAGTGGACTGCATTCTGTCTTGGGCATCAGAAAAAATGAAAACCAAAACATCATTTTCGGTATACTTATTAGAAGAAAAGTTGAAAGAAGGAAAAATTAAAATAAGTTAGATAAAGAGACTCTTTATTCAAATTCGAAATCATAGTTATGTCCTGGAAATTTTAATAAATAGATCTGCATTGGATTTTACAAACCTTTTCCACACAGTTCCCCGCTTTGCCGAACAAAGCTTGGCGGTTCTTTTTTACGTAGTCTGCCAGGCAGCGGACATCCCGACCTGTCAAATTCGGCCTGCGTTTCACCATTTCCTAGAATGAAGAAACAAAATTAAAAAACTAATGAGAAGCCAGAAAGATTGTTTAAAATGAGTTCTGTTAAATCAAATTTGACGGTATCAAACCCTTTTAAACACAAGATTGTTGTTCGGTTTTGTTACTCGATCAGTATAGGGCCTCGATCTATAGACTCATGCAGTACATCTCAATATTTCTACTAGTATAGGTCCAAAACCTGCCAATTAAATTACCACTATTTAACTTTTAAATATAGACTAGACTCTACATGTAGTTAATGCATTTTACAATATATTATTATTATTATTATTATTATTATCAATAACTATTATTATTATTTATCAATTGAAAAATAAATTAAAGTTTAAGGAGTTTGCTTAGACTAGACCACTCAATACTCACAATAGACAAATACTAGGGCCTATAATACTAATAATAGTAAAAGATTTACTTTTTCAACCAATGTAGATCTATGTATGAGTAAAAGCTAGTCTATGCTATAGTTTACTACTTAATCATGTTAATATTATTGGGTTCTGTAAATCTACACTCGGTTTATAGACCTTACTCAGTCCGACTCTTGAGTCTGAGAAATAAAAACACCCCCCCCCCCGCAAACTTACATTAGGGAGGGCTTTTCCAACTCCCTGCTTACATGTAGTCGATCTAGATTATAGTTTATACAGCTCAGTATATCGTTATATTTCATGCCCCTGTTAATCGCCGGCCCAATAGCCGGCCCAATTATCCCTCAGCTCTCACACTGGGCATGCACACACTGTGACACTAGACATATAGTCTAGGGTCTATACTATTTTAAATAGTATCTGATTATAGATCTACTACTAGTCTGAAGCTGAATAAAGTTGAAATTCTAATTGAGAGTCTATATAATTATAGACTAGAAATTTGAATGAAGTTGAAATTCTAATCGACTTGTCTTATCGAGAGTCTTAATTTTATCTAGATATTCTAATTGAGAGTCTAGTATTTTACATTTTTAGAATGATATTATGAGGTAATTGCAAGTTGTTTACCCTTAAACAACTTTAAATCATCGGGTATTGTAGATAAACGAATGTTCAAAACACCACCCACTCTAGTCATGCTAGTAGTCGAATGTCAGATTATGCTACCCAGCTCCTCCGGGGAGCTCAGTACTCTAGTCCCCGCTGGCTTCTGAAAGCACGTACGGCTGCGGAGACTGACGTAAACATTAAAATTAAACCCGAGTACGATGGCAAATACTGTCTGAGTAAAGGTTGCAAGTTTATTGCCAGTAATAATACATTTATCAATATGTATAGCAGAATGAATATGCTCTTTCGATTAACACATGAAAATGATTAAAGTCAAGAAATACGTACGATTGACGATAATTGTAGAGTAGCAGCAGCCGTCTTCGGTGTTTATCTCAGTGGCTATATCTAGCAGACGACGTGAATTGCGCATGCGCTAAAATTTCTGGCTCGTCCAAGAAGACCATTCGCGGGTTTTTCTTATATTAGTTAATATCGGTTTTATGCAACGGATATTAAGCTCCGATGGTAGTTACCATCAATGGTAACTACCATAATAGTATCTCGGGGAGTTACTATTATGGTAAGTCAAAAGTTTTATAATACGGGGCCCTGGTGTAAACACGCGCACGCGCATGCAGTGCTCAGAAACCCGGAAGTGAAACTCGGTACAGATTCCGTGTTACAGAAATATGTAGAATCAACGAGGTTTTACTACTAGTATTTGTATATTCATAACGTGGAACTTTCCATATCTCCAGGATCGCTATTCATAACAGGTGACAGGTGAGTAATGAGTAGCCAGGGGCGGTGGGGCGGTCGTCCCCCCCCCCCCCCAAAAAAAAAAATATATAAAAAACGCCGGCCCCCAAAAAAAACAAAAGGGAAAGAGAGAGAAGAAAAGAATAGAAAGAGTAAGAGGACGTATAGGAAGAAAAAGGAGCACATATATTATATAGAAACCTTTTTTTTAATTAGTAATGAAACGTCAAAGCTTCCGCGCTTTTCGCGGGAGGTGGGGGGGGGGGACTGAATTCAGAAAAGCATTAAGAGACGAGAACGGTACAACAAATCGTCTTGTTTCTCTAATAATTTAATGTCGAAGCTCCTCCGGCACCCCCCCCCCCCCCACCCCCCAGGGCCGGAGCGCGCTTCGCGTGCTCACTATACCGGCCGCCTTCACTATCGCTATTCATAATACTCGCTATTCATGATAGGAGTCGATCGAGGGGCGATCGCTATTCATAATACGATATTCATAATATATAGGAGCAGAGCTAGGGTCGCTATAGTCAATAACACGAGGAGAGGGTCGCTATTCATAATACGAAACGAGGGTCGTTATTGATTAAATAGGCATAAGCAATGAACAAAATGCTAATTAATAATCAACAAAGGGAAATATTGGGAAATATTGGAAGGAGTACACCCTGATGCTTACGGCGTAGCTGTTGGGGGGGGGGGGGGTGGGGGGCGACACATGGACCTGAATATTTGTCTTTTTTTAAGTAGGTTTATTTTACCTAGTATCTCCTGCGCATGGTGACGGAAAAAAAGAAACCTATGAAACATAATACACATCCCAGATAGCAAAATGTTGTGGGGCCCATCTGGGTTTGGTTACAGCTGGGCCGGTATATGGGGCCCAGATGGGTCAGCCCATCTGGGGCCCACTTGGCCCACGTGGCAGGCGCGGATCCAGGGGGGGGCCGAGCGGGCCTTGCCCCCCCCCCGCAAAAAAAAAAAAGAGAGAGAAGAAAGGAAAAGAAGGGAAAGGGAAAGAGGAGAGAAAGGGAAAGAAAGAAGAGGAAGAAGAAAAGAAAAGAAGAGGAAGAAGAAAAGAAAAGGGGGAAGAAGGAGATCGGGGGGCCGAAAGGGCCTTGCCTCCCAGGCTGTTGACCCCCCCCCCCCCCCCCCCATCAAAAAAATAAGAGAGAAGGAAGGAAAGGGAAAGACAAAAGGAAAAGAGGAGATACGGGCGTACTGATAGGGGGGGGGGGGCTTGGGAGAAATCAAATTCAAACGTGGTTTATTTCTAATTCCACAATGGTGGACTACAAATAATGCTGAAATGACATCATTTCCGAGATTTGTCCTCACTTTTTAGTAAATTATACGTTTGTATGTGTTTGTTGGAAAATGACAAATTCCTAAATTTGCAGCAAGGCAAGAAATATGATTCTTGAGATTGTGTAATATAGGTTTTTCTGAAAAGCAGGGGTGGTATTCTGAACATTGTTGTAAGTTTTGTGTTATCTTTTGTTGTATCTTCCAGAGATAACACAGCGCTAATATTGTTGTAAGTTGGTATTCTGAACATTGTTTTATCCCTGTGTTATCTCTTGAAGGACCGCCTCTATCTTATCTTTGACCATTGATGACACGCCCATTTTTATGGACCCTACCAATCAAAATCTATTTTATATAAGCATGATAAGTAGATCAACCAATAGGAATACTTTATGCCATATCTGAAGATGCGCCTAGCGCATACTAATCTTGGGCGTAATTAGTTATTTGAGCACTTATTACGCGCGTCATCATTATGCGCTGTTGAATGTGGATCATGAAGACAAATCACGCTTTCACTATATTGGTTAAGATGAGAGCATTAAAATAGTCCTATCCTAGCATGTAATATCTTAGAAAGTTCTCATCTGTGATGTTTCCGGTCAACACACAATCTTCTTCTAACTCGTCTATTGGCACGAAGTTGGTTCTGGGCAAAAAATATTGCCGCCATTATATCACCACGAAAGATACAACAACCCCCTACCTGTTGTAAATATTGTTGTAAATACCATGCAAGATAAGATAAGATAAAAGATACAACAACTTTCAGAATACCAATTATCTCGACATATTATCATCCGTGCGCATATGCAAATGAGAATTAAATGCCACTTTATTAATAATACGCACAATTACAAGCGCACCAAAGTATGAACGCAGGCGCGGCCAATAAGATGAGAGAAAAGATACAACAAAAGATAACACAAAAGTTACAACAATGTTCAGAATACCAACTTTATCTTATCTTCAAAGATACAACAATATTAGAGATAACACAGGGTTCAGAATACCGCCCCAGGGCTCGAGGTACGGCGGGGATCGGGAGCCTCGAGCTCCCCCCCCCCCCCCCCCCCCCACATTTTTTGAAAAAGTATATTAAAGAGGAAAAAAATAGAATGAGAACAAGAAAGAAAAAATAGTTAACTGCCAGTGTTAAAAAATAATGAGGCATCAAAATATGCTCATCTGACCGTGATTAAATGCCTAAAACCCCTAAGCTTCCGGGGGCTCTGCCCCTGGATTCCACCTAGGGCCCTACGGCGGGCCCTTAGATGCTCATCTGACGGTAGTTTAATGCCTAAAACCCCTGATTTTTGGGGCTACGCCCCCTGGACCCCACGCCAAATAGTGTCACAAAATGATAAGGAATAAAAAAAAAAATGCTCATCTGACCTTAATTACACGCCTAAAACCTCTGAGCTTCCGGGGCCGGCTTCACCGCCGCCCCAGACAAGGATTAATAATCGAGAACGGTACAGCGAATCGTCTTCTTTCTCTCATAATCTTATGAGACGTCAAGCTTCCGCGCTTCGCGCGGGAGGGGGGAATCTGAATTCAGACAAGGATTCAGAGGCGAGAACGGTAATACGAATCTTTAATGATTTAATGAAACGTAAAAGCTTCCGCGCTTCGCGCGGGAGGGGGGAGAATCTAAATTCAGACGAGGATTATTTTCGAAAACGGTACAACGAATCGTCTTTTTTCTCTAATGATTTATGGAAAATTAAAAGCTCCCGCGCTTTGCGCGGGAGGAGGGGGGGGGGTAACCTGAATTCAGACGAGGATTAAGAGTCGAAAACTCTACAACGAATCGCCTTGTTTCTCTAATGGTTTAATGAAACGTAAAAGCTTCCGCGCTTCGCGCGGGAGGGGGGAGAATCTAAATTCAGACGAGGATTATTTTCGAAAACGGTACAACGAATCGTCTTTTTTCTCTAATGATTTATGGAAAATTAAAAGCTTCCGCGCTTTGCGCGGGAGGAGGGGGGTAACCTGAATTCAGACGAGGATTAAGAGTCGAAAACTCTACAACGAATCGTCTTTCTCTTATTTAATAAATCCTAAAATTTTCCGCGCTTCGCGCGGGAGGGGAAAAACTAAATTCAGACGAGAATTATTTTTTCGAGAACGGTACAACGAACCGTCTTCTTTCTCTAATAATTTAATGAAACGTCAAAGCTTCCGCGTTTCGCGGAGGAAGGAGGGGAAAACTAGCCCC